AATTTTTGGGTAAAGGAAAAAGTCCCTAGCTTTGGCCCTTTGGACAAAATTGATCCAAACAACCCCACCGCTTACCACTCCTATCTTGATTTTCATTCCACGGGGTGCAACATCCTTCCCCCACATGGGGCATATACTCCCCAATAGACCCCCTTTCCCGGGATCAAGATTCCTTTTGGCCCGGGTTTTTTCCCTTGTCAAAACGAGATTTGGGGGGCTCTAAAGGTTACATTGGGGAGATCTAAAGAAGGGGTTTATCCCCCCCCCCCCTCCCGCCCCGGGCAAAAACCCGGGGATCTTTTTGTAAGAAAAAACATCACTGAGGCCCTGTGTAGACTCCAATTTAAAACAAGGTTATTAAAAAAACTAAAACCTGCACCTTTCAACAGGAGCAAACCACACGATAAAGCCTGGGCTCTCCGACCTTTCCCGGTCCCCTACAGACCATGGGGGATGGGTCCGGGATTTCATTGTGGACGCCCCCTTCGCTAGACCACACAGCAATTTTTGGGGTGTTGACCGTTTATCAAAAAATGGCCCACTTCTCCCACCCGAAATATACCATCACTTCTGAGACTGCACAGCTTTCATCAAAGAATGGTAAATTGCCCGGGTACCTAGAAATATAGCATTTACGTGGGAGTTTATTCACTCAAAATTCTGGAGGCCTTTTGTGAAATGCTGGAAATCAAGTTATCATTTTCCTCGGCATATCATCCACAGACGAAAGGGGAACAGAGCGGGGACCAAAACTTGGAGCAAAACCCTCAGTGTAATATCCTTCCTCCCAAAAGACTGGTTGGCATCCCACCTCTACTGAGTTTCCACAATAATCAAAAATCCGCCCGAAAATCACCATTTTATGCCAATTTTGGGTTCCACCCACTTTTTTCCGATTTAATTCCAGAAAAAACCCCCTACCAGCAGCACAAGATATTTAAAATTCTTTTTCCTCTAACAGCAAATTTTTACAGGGGAACAGTAACTAAACCCAGGAGGGTAACAAAAGAGTTTGATAGGAGGAGAAAGGGAAATTGGTATACCCCGGGAAAACCCGTCGGTTACTACTACCAACTTAAAGATGGCTTCCCTTAAAAAAAGCCGGCCCCAAAAATTTTATGGGCCCCCATTTTTCATTGGAAAATGGAAAAATCAATGGGGTTGGCTTTTAAATTTAGCTTTCCCTTTAGTCCTTTCGAATACACCCCGCCCCCCCAAAGTATCCTTTTAAAAACCAGAAATTCCAGATCCCCCCCAGAACGTAAGTAAACCCCCTTTCCGGTAGCCTTGGACATTAAGGGAGAAGGAGGAATTTGAAGTGGAGGCAATTTTTGGGGTTTTGCAAAAGGGAGGGGGGGGCCGGGTTTACAATATTTAAATTTAAAATGGAAGGGCAAGGGTTTTGGGAGGAAAATTCGGGGGAACCTTCCCAAAAAAACCCCCCCGCTCCCGTTTACCCCCAAAAAGTATCACCGAAAACCCAACCCAAAAAGGAGAGGTCATTGGGGAAAAATTCCGGGGGGCTGCCGAAAGGGGGGGGGGCCCAAATGCCCAGGGACCACCGCGACGCATGAGTCTGCACTTTCGTAGGTGTCCGCCCAAGACATGCAGCAGGCTGGCACGGGAAACCCCGGCCCCCCTTGTCACCTTTTAAACGGGGGGGGGGCGGGCACAAGGACCCGGGCACGCCTGCAGAAACCGGGTCTCCCCCCCCTTCCCCCCACCCCCCCCCCTCCCCCCCCTCCCCCCACCCCCCCCCCCCCCCCCCCCCCCCCCCCCCCCCCCCCCCCCCCCCCCCCCCCCCCCCCCCCCCCCCCCCCCCCCCCCCCCCCCCCCCCCCCCCCCCCCCCCCCCCCCCCCCCCCCCCCCCCCCCCCCCCCCCCCCCCCCCCCCCCCCCCCCCCCCCCCCCCCCCCCCCCCCCCCCCCCCCCCCCCCCCCCCCCCCCCCCCCCCCCCCCCCCCCCCCCCCCCCCCCCCCCCCCCCCCCCCCCCCCCCCCCCCCCCCCCCCCCCCCTCCCCCCCCCCCCCCCCCCCCCCCCCCCCCCCCCCCCCCCCCCCCCCCCCCCCCCCCCCCCCCCCCCCCCCCCCCCCCCCCCCCCCCCCCCACCCCCCCCCCCCCCCCCCCCCCCCCCCCCCCCCCCCCCCCCCCCCCCCCCCCCCCCCCCCCCCCCCCCCCCCCCCCCCCCCCCCCCCCCCCCCCCTCCCCCCCCCCCCCCCCCCCCCCCCCCCCCCCCCCCCCCCCCCCCCCCCCCCCCCCCCCCCCCCCCCCCCCCCCCCCCCCCCCCCCCCCCCCCCCCCCCCCCCCCCCCCCCCCCCCCCCCCCCCCCCCCCCCCCCCCCCCCCCCCCCCCCCCCCCCCCCCCCCCCCCCCCCCCCCCCCCCCCCCCCCCCCCCCCCCCCCCCCCCCCCCCCCCCCCCCCCCCCCCCCCCCCCCCCCCCCCCCCCCCCCCCCCCCCCCCCCCCCCCCCCCCCCCCCCCCCCCCCCCCCCCCCCCCCCCCCCCCCCCCCCCCCCCCCCCCCCCCCCCCCCCCCCCCCCCCCCCCCCCCCCCCCCCCCCCCCCCCCCCCCCCCCCCCCCCCCCCCCCCCCCCCCCCCCCCCCCCCCCCCCCCCCCCCCCCCCCCCCCCCCCCCCCCCCCCCCCCCCCCCCCCCCCCCCCCCCCCCCCCCCCCCCCCCCCCCCCCCCCCCCCCCCCCCCCCCCCCCCCCCCCCCCCCCCCCCCCCCCCCCCCCCCCCCCCCCCCCCCCCCCCCCCCCCCCCCCCCCCCCCCCCCCCCCCCCCCCCCCCCCCCCCCCCCCCCCCCCCCCCCCCCCCCCCCCCCCCCCCCCCCCCCCCCCCCCCCCCCCCCCCCCCCCCCCCCCCCCCCCCCCCCCCCCCCCCCCCCCCCCCCCCCCCCCCCCCCCCCCCCCCCCCCCCCCCCCCCCCCCCCCCCCCCCCCCCCCCCCCCCCCCCCCCCCCCCCCCCCCCCCCCCCCCCCCCCCCCCCCCCCCCCCCCCCCCCCCCCCCCCCCCCCCCCCCCCCCCCCCCCCCCCCCCCCCCCCCCCCCCCCCCCCCCCCCCCCCCCCCCCCCCCCCCCCCCCCCCCCCCCCCCCCCCCCCCCCCCCCCCCCCCCCCCCCCCCCCCCCCCCCCCCCCCCCCCCCCCCCCCCCCCCCCCCCCCCCCCCCCCCCCCCCCCCCCCCCCCCCCCCCCCCCCCCCCCCCCCCCCCCCCCCCCCCCCCCCCCCCCCCCCCCCCCCCCCCCCCCCCCCCCCCCCCCCCCCCCCCCCCCCCCCCCCCCCCCCCCCCCCCCCCCCCCCCCCCCCCCCCCCCCCCCCCCCCCCCCCCCCCCCCCCCCCCCCCCCCCCCCCCCCCCCCCCCCCCCCCCCCCCCCCCCCCCCCCCCCCCCCCCCCCCCCCCCCCCCCCCCCCCCCCCCCCCCCCCCCCCCCCCCCCCCCCCCCCCCCCCCCCCCCCCCCCCCCCCCCCCCCCCCCCCCCCCCCCCCCCCCCCCCCCCCCCCCCCCCCCCCCCCCCCCCCCCCCCCCCCCCCCCCCCCCCCCCCCCCCCCCCCCCCCCCCCCCCCCCCCCCCCCCCCCCCCCCCCCCCCCCCCCCCCCCCCCCCCCCCCCCCCCCCCCCCCCCCCCCCCCCCCCCCCCCCCCCCCCCCCCCCCCCCCCCCCCCCCCCCCCCCCCCCCCCCCCCCCCCCCCCCCCCCCCCCCCCCCCCCCCCCCCCCCCCCCCCCCCCCCCCCCCCCCCCCCCCCCCCCCCCCCCCCCCCCCCCCCCCCCCCCCCCCCCCCCCCCCCCCCCCCCCCCCCCCCCCCCCCCCCCCCCCCCCCCCCCCCCCCCCCCCCCCCCCCCCCCCCCCCCCCCCCCCCCCCCCCCCCCCCCCCCCCCCCCCCCCCCCCCCCCCCCCCCCCCCCCCCCCCCCCCCCCCCCCCCCCCCCCCCCCCCCCCCCCCCCCCCCCCCCCCCCCCCCCCCCCCCCCCCCCCCCCCCCCCCCCCCCCCCCCCCCCCCCCCCCCCCCCCCCCCCCCCCCCCCCCCCCCCCCCCCCCCCCCCCCCCCCCCCCCCCCCCCCTCCCCCCCCCCCCCCCCCCCCCCCCCCCCCCCCCCCCCCCCCCCCCCCCCCCCCCCCCCCCCCCCCCCCCCCCCCCCCCCCCCCCCCCCCCCCCCCCCCCCCCCCCCCCCCCCCCCCCCCCCCCCCCCCCCCCCCCCCCCCCCCCCCCCCCCCCCCCCCCCCCCCCCCCCCCCCCCCCCCCCCCCCCCCCCCCCCCCTCCCCCCCCCCCCCCCCCCCCCCCCCCCCCCCCCCCCCCCCCCCCCCCCCCCCCCCCCCCCCCCCCCCCCACCCCCCCCCCCCCCCCCCCCCCCCCCCCCCCCCCCCCCCCCCCCCCCCCCCCCCCCCCCCCCCCCCCCCCCCCCCCCCCCCCCCCCCCCCCCCCCCCCCCCCCCCCCCCTCCCCCTCCCCCCCCCCCCCCCCCCCCCCCCCCCCCCCCCCCTAGCGAACTGAAAAACCCCCCCCCCCCCCACAGAAAAAAAAAAAGTATCTACAGCCCTGCAAAAGAAAGAAGGTGAGTAGAATACCAGTCAAAGTGAAGCAGCTTTCACAGGACACATGTGGTGTATCAAACCCATTAGGTTTTTATTACTGTCTGTGCCCTCATTATGGAAATTCACCCTCTCTATTTGTCCTGCTTACCATTTTCATTGAAAGTGAAATGAATCGAAAAGAAAATCCAAAATTTTGGGTTGTTCCCAAAAAAGTAATAGAGAGGAAATCTTCCAATTGGGATACTAGTTTCTGGTGACCCTGGGAGACCCCAAAGGATTCCCTTAATTTGCCCAGGGATTTTCTCTCACTTCTTGTTTTAGCAATGATACAGGAAGAGAAGGTAAATCTCCCCAATACAACTCATGATACATTAGGCAGGCCATTTAGATGGGCTATTTTTCAACCCAGAATTTTTCCAGCATGACCAATCAAAATAAATGAGGAGATCTGCAAAAAAAAACGGCGATGGGCTGGCCCCACTAACGGCGTGAATAACGGCCGATTTTTACGTGCGGATGAAAATTTTGCCCGATAAACGAACCGTCTATGGTCTGCATTAGTCTGATGAATTATTATCCTCCTTTGTAGTCACTGGGAAAGAATTACCCTCTTATGGATAGCTATAAAAGATGAATGATGTCAGTGGGAAGATATCTCTAAAGATTATTGTGAAAAAGTAAAGTACATTTGAAATATATTGTAAAAAGGGATTAGACCAGCAATGGGCAAACTACGGCCCGGCGGACCTTTTAATCCGGCCCCTTCTTTCCGGAGCGTGATCTGTCAGGATGATCTGTCCCCCCTCGACGTATCTGCGCATGTGTGCCGGAGATCGCCGATCGGCTGCTAATTCCTGAAACTGGCACATTGCGCAGATACGTCGAGGGGGACAGATCCTCATAGGAGACAGATTTTCATGCTACACCGGAACGGCGAGAGGAACGCGCGGAGCAAAGGTAAGTGAATTGACACAGGGGGGGCTTGGGGACTCCTAATTGGGGGGACCTTATGAATTAATATGGGGGATGAATTAATACGGGGGATGAATTACTATATGGGGGATGAATTACTATATGGGGGATGAATTACTATGGGGGATGAATTACTATATGGGGGATGAATTACTATATGGGGGGATGAATTACTATATGGGGGGATTAATTACTATGGGGGATGAATTACTATATGGGGGATGAATTACTATGGGGGTATGAATTACTATAGGGGGATGAATTACTGTATGGGGGATGAATTACTATGGGGGATGAATTACTATAGGGGGGATGAATTACTATATGGGGGTGAATTACTATAGGGGGATGAATTACTATATGGGGGATTAATTACTATATGGGGGATTAATTACTATATGGGGGGATGAATTACTATGGGGGATGAATTACTATATGGGGATGAATTACTATATGGGGGATGAATTACTATGGGGGATGAATTACTATATGGGGGATGAATTACTATATGGGGGATGAATTACTATGGGGGATGAATTACTATATGGGGGATGAATTACTATAGGGGGGATGAATTACTATATGGGGGATTAATTACTATGGGGGATGAATTACTATATGGGGGATTAATTACTATATGGGGGATTAATTACTATGGGGGATGAATTACTATATGGGGGATTAATTACTATGCTTACTATGGGGGAATATTACTATACTTACTATGGATGACACATACACTCATCTTTCATCTACTCTTGGTCCGGCCCCCGGGTCCAATATATGAAACCCATTGCGGCCCTCAAAGTCAAAAAGTTTGCCCACCCCTGGATTAGACCATAGTGGTATGTATATACTCTACATTGCATACTGTTTGGAGTGATTGGGAGTTATTTTGCAGCAAATGATGTACAGTCATGGCCAAAAATATTGGCCAACTGCTCCAGGTCTCTCAGATTGTGAAGGGTTCCTTTTTCCATCTGCTGTTTTGAGATCTCTCCACAGGTGCTCTATGGGATTGAGATCTGGACTCATTGCTGGTCAGGTGTCAGGGCAGGGCTGTGGAACGGACAGGTAGGCCTAGTGGCAGGGGTAACACACTGGCTGACGACAACCACCACCAACAGACCGAAGTCCCCTCAGGGCGCAGAGTCTAAGTCCCAGGCTGCCCTTCACCAGGGCCCCTGATGGTGGCGATGGACTTGACGCAGCCAGGAACCAGGTCACGGCCCCCGAGACACTCCGGCTGCAGTAATGGCCGCCGCCAATGGCGTGTAGCTGGTAAGAATGACAATAGCGTAGTCAGGCAGGCCGGGTCGACAACAACGGGACAAAAACGGTACAGAACAGTAGACAGAGAATCACAGGTCTCGGGCCGGGTTCAGCAACGGAAGGTCAGATCGAAGGAAAACACAGAGAATGGTCTTAGTCACAAGCCGAGTCAGTGTCAGGGCTCCCGGGTATGACCAGAGGTGTGTGACTGACGCAGGGAAACGCAGACTTCAGATATGTTATAAACAATGTAATTTATTAACACTAACCATACAAACATAAACGCAGTGCAATACTAAAACATAACACAGTGCAAACAAACCAACCAACCACCCACAGATAACAGTACATACAATGCAAGCGTCGTCAGGCAGGCCGAGTCAATATCAGTCGGGCAGGTAGGTACAGGGGGAGCAAGCGGAGAATGGTCGGGGTCACAGGCCAGGTTCAGCAGGTAGCGGGCAGCGTGGTACAGAGGGTCAGGCAGAGGAGAATGGTCAGACAAGCCAGGGATCAGAGCAGGGTCAGCAGAGAATCAGACAGGAACAGAGAGCAGGAACAGGATACAGGGCCCAAGAGAAACACAACACCAAGGCAGAGTCTGCAGGTCTGAATGTCCCTTAAATACACCAGTATAATTAGTTCCAGGTGTTTGACTGGCTGCAAGGTTGAGTCTCTGATTGCTGGGAGCACCCGCTGACCAGCCCTGGTACTGCAGCTCATAAGGCAGCTGAGTCCCACTATTGCTGGCCAGTCCATTCCTGACAGTCAGATACACCAGAAGAGTCACGAGCGTATACACAGAGCTGTAGCAAGACCAAGACACAAGACACAAGTGCAAAGAGCATGTGCGGATCACAGGCTTATATTGTACTCAGCCATACCCCTCTGGGGGATGGACCTCAGAGACCTGAAGGCATAAAAGATTCCCACCATGCTCAGCAGAAATCCAAGATGGATGCCAGCACATGGAGTAACATAACCTCTGGGAAAAGGTAGGACCTTGACAGTACCTCCTCCTCAAGGGCCCCTCCCCCTCCGCGGCTCAACAAAAGGTTTCTGAGGAAAGCGGGTATGAAAAG